AAATTAGTCCTAAGGTTGAGGATGATGATCTGGTACATCTAAGATGACCAGTGATGTTAATACAGGTTACAGGTTCAAAGGGTTTAAAGTAGAACATCCAAGCAGGGGTGTTAGGTATGGCAATTGGTGGGAAACCTTTAGGCAGACTTCTTAAATAGGTAATATAGAAAAGTTACATGTGTAGCCAATTGTATACTCTTCTGTAATGGATCATTGAACCACAATACTGTTAAGTGATTAATAAAAGTCAAAAGACCAAAGAGGTTACCTTAATACTAAAAAAAAAAAAATTAAAGCTGGTTTATTAAAAACAGTTGAAACTTGCTATGAATTATATATTTTTTATTAAAAAAATAAAAAAATTAATACAAAGTTTATAAAAAAAAATTTTTCCTAGAAAAAAATTAAATCCTTTACTTTTTGTATCTTTCTTTTACAAAATCAAAAGCAGGTTTTTTACTACTATTTTTTTTATGTTTCTATTTCTCTTTACTATCTTCACTATCTTTACTTTTGGAGCCTTTCTTTTTACTACTACTTTTCTCTTCTTTTTTCTTCTCTTTCTTCTCTTTCTCCTTTTTTTCTTCTTCTTTCTCTTCTTCTTTCTTCTTTTTCTCCTTTTCTTTCTCCTTACTCTTATTCTTATTCTTATCATCCTCATTCTTATTCTCATCATTATAATTACTTTTATTATTTTCAACATTACTTACTGCCTAATCAGAAATATTATTAGGTTGGTGTGCTATTAGTATATATGATAATTGATAAGGACATTTGTGATTAGGTTTCATAGTTGTATCAAAAATATTATATAACAAGCCAGTTAACCATTAAAATAAATAAAAAAATTAAACTTTTATATAATTAATAAATTAAGATTTAAAATATTAATTTTGCTATTTGATTAATATTTGTGTATCTAAAATATATTATATATATTATTCAATATACAGAATATCAATTAATAACAACAAATATTGCTATTCAATATGTTGAAGTTTTATTAATATAATATAAACAAAAAAAATTATTTTTTTTGACCTTCATGACAAGTTATGAACATTAATATATAATTGATTTTTTCATTCTTTTCTTGACTAGCATCTGTTAATTCAGGTGAATAAACATTATTATTTGTTAATAATTGTATTACTTCCTTTGTCTTATAGTTAGAAATCCAATTGTTCTTTTTTTCATAAAGATACTAAAATGCTACAGCCCATCAAGACATTTTCTGTAAAATTAAATTAAAATTTAATTAAATATTGAAAATTAAGATTTAGTAACTTATAACTTAAAATTAATCTAAATTTCTAACAAAATTTAGATCAATTTTAAGTTATAATTTACTAAATTTATATTATAATAATAAAAAAAAATTTATACATTAGTTTTTTAGTAATTTTGATGTATGCATTCATCAATGTGTATGCTTTGAGATTTACTTCGATATACAGACTGAATGTTATAAAATGATTTGAGATGTTGCTTCAACATGTTAGCCAACTCAGTTTGATCAGTACCAAATTGCTTAGCAAAAAGATTATATAGCATAGGGATTATAATTTGAGACAAGTAATCATTTTGTTCTTTCTATTTCTTATCAATATTAAGGCCAAATTTATTATCTTTTTCTTTGAGAATTTTAAAAAGTTTATTCTATTAATAATAAAATTAGTTTTAATTAAAAAAAAGCAAATAAATATATATCAAATATTAATAAAATTAGGTTTGATTAAAAAAATATATACTGGTCAAAAGGATGAAATTTGACCTTAAATCAGAGGTTGAATTTGCTAAATTCATGTCAAATTGGCCAAAAAATCAACCTAAAATTGGTTACTGATTTTAAGTAATTAATATTTTAGGTCAATTTTAAGTTGAATATAGATCAAATCTAGATTAATTTTTTTGGCTAAATTACATTAATTCAATCAAAAAATTGAAATTCAACCTCAGATTTGAGGTTGAATTTCATTTTTTAATTAGTGATATGTTAATATAATTATTAATAAAATTTTAAATATATATTCTAAGTGCCTTTTTTATAGTCTTATTATTCTCAAAACCAAGCTGTCTTGCTATTTCCTCTATACCTTTTGAAGAAGCAGGCTTTTTTTGTGCAGCTAATAAAGTTTTAGCTTTATTTTTTTCTTTCCACTCAGCCTGCTCCTATGCTATAGATGCCTGATGGCTTAAAACTTGCAATGCACTAATATTATCAGCTAATATAAAATAAATGCTTCACAAAAATTTAACTACATCCTTTAAATTCATTATTTTGTAGTCATGATCCTTTTGAGCCTTATGTAAATCATTAATTTCAGTTTACAATAAATGATTTTTTAAAAAAAAGAGACAGTTGCAAATTGGTCATTATTTAAATAAAAAAATAAAAAAATAAATTTGGTTATTATAAGTTAGTATAAATTTAGCCATTATTAAATAAAAAAAAACAAGAAAAGAAAATAAAATTTTATAAATATTAGTTATAAATTAGTATATATTTAAGAAAATAAGAATAATAAATAATTATAAATATCAGTATATATTTATTTTTGAGATTACTAAAATGCACTACTGGTGTTCAACACCAGTTCCAATCTGATTATGTAGTACAACATATGTAATTATAATCAATACTGATGTCATGAACTAGAATAAAAAGGATAGTTCTCTTATAATCACAACTCTTTCACTTTGCTACTGTACAACACAAGTTGCCAAAATTGTTTAATTCTTTAAACTTATGCTGTTGTTGTTCAATACATTAGAATCGTAATTCATATTGTTATATAAGTATTTTTTCTTTTTGGTAAATTTGTTTTATATAAAACTTTATTTTACTTAAAGGTTTTTACTATATTAAGGTTATCGATTTACTGCACTGCATTTATCAACAAGGAACTTGTTATTCAACAGAAGTTCGTTTTGCCTTCTATTGTGTCACTTTTTTTTTTTACTGTGCCATATCTCATCCAGTTTCTTAAATTGTTATTCTGAAGGGTTTGTCTATTTTTTAGCTTTGAATATAAATTATATCGCTGTTGCATGATACATAGGAATATATTATTCATTTCTTTAGCTAACATGTTTTTTTTTTATTTGCAAATCTAGAATTCCAATTTATGCATCTAAGCTCTTATTGCATACAAAACTTCATTTGCCTTTTTGCTATTTGTTTTCTATTTCATGATATATTGAAATCAATTATTCATGAATTCTTATTAACTGGAAGTGATCTTTTTTTTTGAATTGAATTTATCATAAGAAACCTGATTTACCTACAAGTTTACTTACATAAAAGTTTTTATTTCTTATTTTAAACTTATTATTCTTTTCATTCTCCTTATTGCTACAAAAAAAAGTGCTTAATTATTCATATATATATGTATATCTATTAGTTTCACATGATCTTTTTTTCTATGAATTGAATTTATTAAATTTGACTTCTTACTGTGCCCAGGTTAAAGAAAACATAGATTATAGATACTTTACTGATTTTAGATGTTGATGAAAATTTTTTTAAGCCTAACAATACTGAATTTAACAATCTGCAAAATCATACTAATATAATGGGTCATCAACATTCACTATTCAACAACTTTTCCTATTTAAAAAACAATAACAATTCTTATTACATCTAGGTTAAAGGATACATGGATATCTTACCAATTTTAGACGTTGACGAAAAGTTTGTTGAGCTTAACAATACTGTATTTGACAACCTGAAAAATTACACTAACATAATAGATCATTAGTATTCACTATCCAATGACTTTCTCTATTTGAAAAATAATGAAAATTCTTACTGCGCCCAGGTTAAAGGATATATACAGGCTATGAATACCTTACCAATTTTCGATGTTGATAAAAAATTTTTTGACCTTAACAATACTGAATTTAATAACTTGCAGGATCATGCTAACATAATAGATTAACAATGGTCGCCATCTAACAATCTTTTCTATTTGAAAAATATAGAAAAAGATCTGGAGACAACTGAAAATATAGAAGTCCAGGAAAATAATAATAGAATGTATACATATTCTATTGCTTTGGAATGGACTTTATGAATTAGAAAGACCTAGATAGGTAAGCAATGAATTAGTATACCTTTTTTTTTTTTTTGAACTCAAACAGTTGGCATGCTTTGTTTATCCATTACCATATATATGTACACAACTTGTAACTATTACTTTATATGTACAGAAAAATGTTATAACAATAATGGTATTATTACAGTATATGGGATTTTGAATGCACACTCATTAAAAAATTATTTATTCTATTATACAGGTGGCTTGATAACCATGAAGTAGAGCATAGTTTTGCATTTACAGTAACTCATAGTAAAAAAGATAAGAAAGATAGGATTCCTTGACATTATACCTATAGGTGTATGAAAAGAAAAACATATACTGCATAAAAAAAAATGCATACTACTAAGGAATGTAATCAAGGTTATAATAACAGTAACTGTCAGTTTTACGTTAATGCATATTGGTGTAAAAAGGACAACAAGATATACATAACAAAAATTGATAACCAGCATAATTATGCCCTTATTAACAATATTAAAATAGTTGCAACTTATTACCAAAGACTTACTCCCAAGATGCATGATGATATAAAGCTTCTTGCTTCTTGTAGGGTACATGCTGAAGCAATTATTGAAGTGTTGCAAAAGAAAAACCTAGGAAAATACATTCATATATGCAATGTATATAACATAATTCAGATGAATCGAATTCAAAAAAAGACAATAAGTGATGCTGGGTCAATGTATCTTGAGCTTATAAAGCATCAGCAAGCTGATCCTACTTTTTATATTAATGTGCATTTCAAAGGCTACAATAATTATCTTATAAAACTTTTCTGAATGAGCTTGAACCAACAACAGTTGTAGGCTAGGTTTTATAATATTGTTTTGCTTGACACTACTGTGAAAACCAACCATCATTCTATGATACTCTGTGTTATAATTTTAATAGATAATCATAATTGTTCTTATCTTGCAGTGACTGCTGTCATTTCAGATAAAACAAAAGATACATTTATTTGGCTGTTTAGAAATATAGTGAAGGCAACTGGTGGTTTAGCACTATATTTGCTTTACACAGATGCAGATCCTGCGATGATTGCTATAGTAAATACTTGTTGGCCAGCTACAAAGCATCATATTTGTTTGTTTCATATCTGCAAAAATTTAGAAAAGCACCTTTTGAGTAAATACCATGATAACTGATGAAATTTTTTTGCAGACTTCTGTCAAGCATGTAATAGTTATGTAAAAATAATCTTTGAGAAAAGGTAGAATGAATTGTTACATAAATATCCTGATGCCTCTAGCTACTTACAATGCCAGCTTTATAAATATAGCAAGGCTTGGGTGCTATGCTTTATATACCAAGCATTTAATGTTAGTATATACAGCATACAGTGTGTAGAATCTTACAATAGAATAATCAAATCTCAAGTAACTGGGTCTTCAACTCTTTTGAAATTTGAAAATAATATCAAAAAACTGTTAGAAAAGAAGAGTTGCTTTATGCATCTTAATGAAAGTATTGGCCAGCTTTCTGTAAATCGGAAAGAAAGTTACTATAACAGATATTTTAATAAGATTGATACGTATATTGTGTCAAAAATTCTTGACCCTTACAATTTTGAAACTTCAAAGAGATGAAATTAATCATAGTATCTATTACTGGTGTTTTGTTGCCAACTTAAAAGATAAGCTTGAAAATTGTATAAGTGTTTTTTATTATCAGTTAATATATTAATAATAATAGGTCTAAATTTATACACTTACATATTTTATAAGGCTTGTATTGAATCTCCAACTGGAATGTTCTCAGAGAATCTATTTGATGTGAACATTATTGAATTAGAACAACTTATAGCTGGTCTTGAATGGACAAAGACTATCGAAGTTTGGCATGTCACCTCATTAAACAAAAAAAGTATACATTTCATTGTACTTTATAATAATATTGCATATCTTTGTACTTGCTTAACTTTGATAAATCGTGGTCTCATATGTTGACACTTTTTTCAGTAATGCTTGTCTTGAAAGTTGCAAAATTCCATATTAGATTATAATGCAGTGTTGGTATTTAAATAGATTAGTTAAAAGTGTTACAATATTTGAAAGTGAGCCAGTAATTTCACTAATGTCAAATGAGGAATTTAATGAACTTGGATATGCTATTCATATTGACTTTTCATACTTAAAGGATATCTGTAGAAACCATATTTTTACAAAACATATTTCTCGTGAGATGATGCATAGGGAACAGTGAAGGAAAGGATTTGGTATTTTAAAAAGGCTCTAAATTTGGCAATTATAACAAACAGAACTGAAGAGCTTTATGAAATTCATGCAAAACTCATCAAAGAAATAGAAAATAAAATTGAAAGTTAAGACAGTCAAGTTATAACAGAAAATAATAAACTTCAAGAGTTTATATATACTATAAATAATCCAATTAGCATTAAAACTAAAGATAGATCAAGTAAGCAAATTAAAGCTTTTAATGATATTATGAATATATTAAATGACAAGAATACAAAAGTGAAAACATCCAGGATTATTTCAGATTCAAGTAACAATATAAAGCTTTATTTAGTATTTATTATTTTTTCCTTTTACTTATATATTATTCAATTATTCTGTTTGGTAGAAAATAATATATCATATACAGAATCTATAAGTGACATGGAAAAGACTTCTGTGAACAAGAGAAGATATGGAATTTGCAATTTGAAAGGCCATAATGCATGAACTTGTCCTAATCTTGCAGAATCTAATATCGTCAAGTTAGAGTCTGCTAATATTAATAAAAAAACTAGCACAAATAAGCAAAAATGCAGGATATGCAGTTTGGAGAGTCATAATGCACAAACATGTCCTAATTTTATAGAATATAGTAGTTTTGAAATGATGAAATCTGTTAGTGATATAGAAGAAAATACGAACAAGTGAAAATGTAGTATTTGTAGTTTGGAAGACCATAATGCACAAACTTGTCAAGGTTAAATAGGTAAAATAAGTATTATATGCATATGTAGCAGGGACACAGAAAAATTAATTTTATTATTTGTAAAAATTTTTTTTGATAATCACAAATATTTGAATAAATTTTGATAAAATTTTTATCAGTAATAAATGGTGATTTATTATATTTATTGCTTCAAAAAATTTAATCTAAGTTATTAAAGTATATCATATTTAATGTTTTAAGTGATTCTGTACTTAAATTTTGGCTCTTATCATTAAGAAGATTATTGTAAACTGAAAAGCTATGTTCTACAGCATTAAAAGAAATAAGTAACCATATATAATCAAATGCAATTTCACTTAAAAGAGGTAAAGTAGCTGCTATTTTTTCCCAAAAAATTTGTAAGTTTAAAAAATCTACTTCAATTAAATCTAAGTTGCAATATAAAGACCATTCTTGAATAAGTTCTAAAGAAGGATTTAATAATTGTGGAATATCATGACTATATTTTTGAATATCACGATTTTCTAAAGATAAATTCAAATAATGTGAATCAAAAATACAAACTGCCTTGAAAAGTGAACGACAAGAATGATTAGGAAAATATGCAGAAAATTTTTTAAATGCTGAATTATATGCAGCTTAAAAAATGAATACAAAAGTAAAAAATTCAGAATTATATTTTAAAAGAATATTATTAATTTCGTTACTAAAATTAGTTATAGTCATTCCATTAGTAAGAAATATTTCAAGCTACTGAATTCATGCTTTAATTAAAGGAAAAATAGAATCATGTTCCTTTTAAAAAAAATCAGTATTTAATATAAATTGATGTGAATAATAACAAATAAAAGCTAAGTATATTTCTGTTAATCTATTTTCATTTCTATTATTAAAAACTAATACAATATTTCCAATCAGTTCATTAGTTTCTAATTCATGCTCTTTATGATAAAACCCTCGAATATAGTCTAAATAGTTGTAAACATAAATTACTATCTTGAATCAGGAATTCCATCTAGTCATGTTAGGCAAAAGCATAAAGCATAAAGTCAATTGTTAGAAATCTTGAGAATTTAAACTATCATCTAAATTGTTTTTAACTCCATGTAATTAAAGATAATTCATATATCTAGATCATCTTGCTTTAGAATAAACTATAGTTTTTTTAATATTATTAATTAATTTGTATATACTATCGAAATGGTGGATATTTGTCTATGTTTCACTAATAAATTCGAATTAGAATATGTAGTAATAAGTAATATATAATTAATTAAAATATAAATAACTAATAAAATTTAAGTTACTAACCTAATTAATTGAATAATATATGTGCAATATGCATTATGTCGAACTTGTAGCATTACTGGTTGTAAAACTTCTTTAACAAACTTTTTTAAATAAGAAGCTGAGTCTGATACAATAAGATATGGATAATTAAAAGGTATCTCCCATTTGACTAAAGTTTGAAGAACCAACTGACCAACTGTAATATTATTTACTTGAGACATAAAATTAACTAAAATTAATTTTGTTTGGTCTTGGTAGCTAAAAAAGATATTGATAACACTACAGGCTTTTTTATCTGTAGTTTTATCAATTATAATAGAAACAAATTTTCTATAAAACATTTTCTGAAGTTCTTGATAATGTTGTTTAAATACATTATTCAAATGATATTTCTGAATACTGTCAGCTACAGAGATAGAACTATCTTCTTTACAATATCTTTTGAAAAAACCTCAGAGCTTATTTATTTTTTCAAGTGGGATATCTGCTTTGACCCAGGCTTTTACTAAGTTATTAATTATTTGTTTTTTTTTCATCAGCAGCCTCCAATGTGATATGAAGAGATTGTTGATGATCATTACATTTGGCAATAAAGTATAAGCGACGAGCATCTTTATGAAGTTTTAAGTTTACATACGATGTAACAGTAGACTTGTTTTCCCATCCAATACTTTTATTACAAAACCAGCAATAAAGTTTATTTTTATTCACAAAAAGATCTTCTAAAAATTCTTAAGCTCATAAAAAAGGTGTAACATGTTTTGATCTTCTCATTATTATAAAGAGATTTCATTAATACCAGAATTGGCTTGAATGTTTTTGTAAAAGTCGATATTATATTTTTTCTTTCCTTCTTCAGAACAAACATGATCTTTCCCTCTTTCAAAACCTAAGTCTTTGCTAGTGTTTTACTTTCTTTAAACTAACCTATACTTTCATTAATGTTTTTTTTTTTCTAAGTTAGGCTTACAATCTGTACCTTCACTAGTAAATTAATGCTTTTTTAAAGAGCTGTAACTAATGTTTTTCTTTCTTTAAAACTACCAATTGTATTTTAAAATACAAAAGACGCTGCTAGTGTTCCTTAGAACCACATTTCTTGCTAAAAGTTGTAATAATCTTCTTAAAAAAAATTTTTTTAATTTATATCAAAATTGTTATCAAATTTTGATTGGCTAATAATTAGTAATTATATAACGACCTTATGAAAATTTGGATTTACTTAGAAAATGTTTAAAATTTTGGATTTATATAAGAAATATCTAAAAATTTTGATTTACATAGGGAAATTTTGAATCCAAATTTTTCTGTGTCCCTGATATGTAGTAGATGCTATTATAGTATAACTTGTATATAATTGATCAGGGTTGGCTACTATAGAAAATTTGAGTTTATAATTTAGCTAGTACTCTGAGGTAGATTCTAACTTATATTTTTGCATTTTTTTGCCTTGCATATGTGCTTAGCATAAACAAAATTTATGCATTTTGAATAAAATTTTATTTCTATTTACTGTTATATATATATAAAATAAAAATTATATTGTAATATAATTTTGTTGATCAAATTGACTATTCGTAAAATTCATATGACAGAATTTATGCACTCTAACAATTCTTAAATTAGGGTTGGAAACTAGTGCTATATATAGTAAAATTGCTTAAGAAATTTTTTAATTAGTGTAAAAGGTAGTTTTTTATGTGAATTGTTAAGAAACAGGCAATTTTTGAAAGAATAAATATTTGTTTTAATTGTGTTATGTTATTGCCTAATTTCAAAAATGATCATGTATAGAGTTAATACTTCAATTCGGATATATATATATCTGAATTAGAATGTCCAAGATTATGTAAAAGCAAAATATGTGCATAATTTATCAAATTTTCACATCACATATGCTTCACATAATTAAAGAAAAAGGCATAAAATGCACATAAGTAAGATATGATTGAAACTTCCAAAACTTTCAATGCAAAAAGTTTGAAATATTCTAAAGATTTCATATAATTGACAAAATCCAAATAAGAAATTATATAATTTGCATTTATCGCATAATTTGACCTTGATCATATGCATAATTTACTCTATCATATCACATAATCCTGGATACTCTAATTCAAATTGATATTTTGTCAGAAAATTATAGTAAAACATAGTAAATTAAATCTAGATTTATTTTATATCTGTGTATATTCAGATATAAAAACATAGTAAAGTATTAACTCTAATCATGTAAATATGAAAGTTTTAGTTTTATTTTTTATAAAATTAATTAAAACCAGTTTTAAATATTTAAACTCTAAGTTACTCATTATGGTAGTACAATAGTAGTACAACTATATTAAATTATATAATCATGTGATATTTTAGAACTAGTATTAAATACCAGTAGTGCATTTTAGTAATCTCATTTATTTTTTATTTTTTTTTGATATTAAGATGACCCCTTTAGTCTTTTAACTTTATTAATCACTTATCAATATTGTGGTTCAATGAACTACTACAAAAGAGAGTACAATTGGCTACATGTGTAACTTTTCTATATTACTTATTTAAGAAGTCTGCCTGAAAGTTTCCTACTAATTGCTATACCTAACACTTCTGCTTGGATGTTCAACTTTAAACTCTCTGAATCTGTAATTCTTGTTAACTCACTGGATCATACTTAGATGCCCAAATCATTTTTTCAATCTTAGGACTAATTTATCCTTAAAGTAAACCTCTTAGAGCCTTTTGTACTCATTTTTACAGCTAATCTAAGTATCACTATAGCAGAACCAACACTTGCAGTTAGGACTAATTATTAAACTGCTATACTCTTGTAAAGTTTACTTAGACCCCAGCATCTACTTTACAGCATAACTCTGGTACTTTAGTATATTCTTGCCTTTTTACCTGCCTTTTTATCAAACTCTCAATCCAGATAGCCTGTATAGAACTACAACCAGTTCATCAGTATATCAGATCAGCCTGATATCCTTTTTCTCTGATTTATTTTAGTGGCCTGA